TTATATATATATATATATATATATATATATATATATATATATATACACACACACACACACAAGGTGCGATGAGTAAATTGTCGCTATTTTATATTTCAAATTTTGGCACATGTGCATTGTTTATTTTTTGATTTTGTCAACTCAGTTGTGAACTGTCTGTGAGAAAAAGAGCAGCATGATGCAATTCACTCCGCCAAAAATTTTGAAACAGCATGCTGTACTGCATGACATTTCCAATACGAACATTTCAGAGTGTTTGGGTGTCAATCTGAAGAGGGTGCAGAGTATTTGGAAAGAGTTGGAGGAGTCTAATGGTGATTACAAAGGTGTTTGGAGTGGGCACTTATGATGGTGATGTTATGCCTCCATTCATCTTCTCATAGGACCTCAGACTCAATATGGAGGCCTACATCAAATGCCTGGAAGAGGTAATGCTGCCCTGGGTCAAGAGAGTGGCTGCAGAAAGATGCTATGTCTGGCAACAGAACTCTGCACCATGCCACACAAGCAGGAGAACTCAATCATGGCTGTCAGACAATTTCTGCAACCACATCACCCCTTATCTCTGGTCACCTAACTCCTCAGTTTGCAACCTCCTTGATTATTATGTGTGGGGCACAGTTGAGCGAGAGACCAGCAAAGATGTGGCACCAAAGATGAACTGATTGTAAGGATTATGGTAGCATTCACCAATTTAAACAAAGAGAAGAGTTGCAGAAGATCAAGAAGTCATCTGTACGCAGTGGTTGAAGCCAATGGCAATTTTACTGGGTAAATTTACTCTTTAGTATTTCAAGATATTTTTGTACAATTTTGGTAAATATATCTGTTAAAAAGAGATGTCAGTATTATTTTTATTTTTGCATAATTTACACGACAATTTATCCATCGCATCGCACACACACACACGCACACAGACATACATACATACACACAAAGAAAAATGTATTTGGTGTATTGATTGATTTTTTTTCATGGGTTATCAACTTTTTTGCAGGTTATTTAAAACCAGAAAATAATTTTAGATTGTAAGAATTTTTTTGAGATAATAAATTTCCTTGACATTGTACAAAAACTGGTGTTTCAACATGATATGGCTGTAAGCCTGTATTAAGTGAAATTATACAAAGTACAATTATGAAATACAGCAGAACAGGCAGAAATAGAAATATATAAAAAAAAAAGTTGAACTCAAAACAAGAATGACTGTCACTCTGAGGAGTTTACTGGATTAGTAGTGAGACTTGTTGTCTCTTGATCCTCAGGTAACTAAATTTCTGCAGACTACTTTAATTTTTTTTTTTTTTTTTCATTTTTGATCTTTTTCTTTCTTTGCCCTAATTCCTTAATTTCAATTGGTCATTTCCTGTTTTTTTTGTTGTTTCCTTGCTTCAGACTAACAGAAATTCAAGTACATTTCTTGTTCGCTAATTACCTGGGATAAATGGTTTCATTTTTCTAGTAGTGTTTGTTTAACATGGCCAAACAAAAGGAAATCAGTGATGCTTGCAGAACTAAAGAAAAAGCAAAAAAACAAAAACAAAAAAACTGACAGTCCAACAAAAATGACTGGAAGTCATTTGAGAGAACAGATGAATCAACTAACAAACAGGTAATTAGTCTTTTACAAGAAAAAAATAAGATATATAACTAAACAGTAGCAACCAATAAGGCAGCAAAGTTCAGAGAATCTTTAAAAAAAAAAAAAAAAGAATAAAAAAAGAGTCCTTCTCCATGGTTGAAATAAGTACATACTTCTCAGAAGTCAGTGTGTGATTTCAGGTTAAAAAAAAAAATTTTTTTAAAGATCACTAGGCCCTCCCCATTTGAGGGTTGGTGCTACATAATCCCTCTCCACCTGATTTTAGCCTAGTATAATACAAAGTCAAACTAAGTAAATATCAATAGATAAAAATTTATCAAAAATGAAAGCAAGAAAACAAAATAGTTTTCTGGCATAGTGACACCCTCATGGATCATTTTTTTAAAACTTGAATGACCATTAAATGAATACATACCATATAACTTTTCAAACACAAAAAATAAATATACATTTAGCAATCAACATGACACTAAATTATTAAAAAAAATGTATCAGTTGTTAAACTGGGATGAATGAATTCATATGATATATAGGAAGCTGATGACCATAGGTTCAAAGATGTTCAGCTAGATGGAAGCCAGGATGATTTGTGGTGGGTGGTCTTGCAAATAAATAAACACCTATAAAATATATTTTATAGGCTGATGAAGATAATCAATAAAAAAAACAAAAAATAAAGTGTGTGTGTGTGTGTGTGCATGAGGGCAGTGTCTTGATTTCAATATTTATCACTTGATTGATCCTCAAATATGGGCAGTATGTATGTAGTTTTTAGTCCTGCTAGGATATTGCATTCTCTTATGCTGATGTGGCAACATTGGGCATCTTTTGCACTAGTTGTTACATTAATGCTTTAGTGAACTTTCAAATGCTGTTTTAATCCACCAACTGAGACACATTCTTTCTACACTCTGCAATGTGTAGTGAATGGCTTCTGTGTCTGGAGACTTTGATGATTTTTTAAATTGGCCTTAATTTAGCAGAGATCTCTCTCTCTCTCCCTCACACACTATATATATATATATACACACACACACAGTGTGCAGCAGGTAAATTGTTGCCATTTTATATTTTAAATTTTGCACATCATCTGTTTTTGATTTTATCAACTGCACAGTATAGCAGGGTCGGTTGGGCACTATGAGAAAAAGGGCACCTTGATGTAATTCACTCCACCAGAAATTTGGAAATGTATGCTGTACTGCTTGGTATTTGCACCAGAAGCTCCAATATGAACATTTCAGAGTGTCTGGATATCAATCTTAGGACAGTGCAGAAGATGCACACATTTTATATATATATATATAAATATAATTCATAGAATTCATCTGTAGAAAAGACAATATGTATAAAGGAAAAAAAAAAAGAAGGAAAACTGTAGTTTTAGCCAACATCCAATGTAGACTTTTTCAAGACAAAAGCAAAATGAATTTATTGAAACAAAGTATCTATCTATAAACATAAAACATAATATTATTCTTCTAGTTATTAATGACATTGGATGAAATGTGCCAGCTAAAACTACAGTTTTCCTATTGTCTTTATATATATATATATATATATATATATATATATATATATATATATATACACACACACACACAGTATGACAGTATTATAGTTTTCATTGATATAGACAATGTGGACAATATAAAATTTTCCACATGCGCTTATATATATATATATATATATATATATATACATACATACATACACACACACACACACATATATATAACACTTTTCAAAGGGTGTATAGTTACTACACTTTGATCCTAAGCAACATGAAAATAATGCTGCCATTTTTTGAGAGGTGGTGAGGACACTTATACTTAACATCCAGAGGAGATAGTTGAAATTTCTAGAGCACATAATGAGGAAAGTGAGCATGGAAAATCAGATACTCACATGACAGATTGAAGGCAAGAGGGACAGAGGAGGTAAACAATGCATAACCTACCTAGCGTGCTTGAGTAAATGGATGGTAGAAGAAGGTTCAGGAGAGATAACAAAAAAGACAAAATTTATTAAGAGCTACAAAGGACAGGAAATTGTGGAGAGCCATGATTGCCAACATCCTGAAGGGACATGGCACATGGAAGAAGAAGGCAGTGGTATTATTACTATTACTGCTGCTGTGACACTAGCACAAACAAAATGATACTTAGATTGGATGATCATTCTTTTTCCTGTTTGCTATCACTCAAAATTAGACTCAATTATAGACAGTCATTTGATATAATAATGATAAAAGGAAATATTTATCCAGCTAATTGAACACAGGCAGGGGAGAAAAACTTTGCAAATTATTTAAGCGATGTATACAGTAAGCAAAATTGTTATTACCTTCAAATAGGTGCTGCAAATACACTTTCAAATAAGGACTGGTGTGTGTTTTATATATATATATATATATATATATATATATATATTATTGTTGCTTACGTGTTTTCCATGATTGCTAATGATGACCTGTTTAAGTTCCAGTTTATCTTGTCATGAAAAAATAACTCCCCACCTCCACTCTCTGAGCTTAATTTTCTATTTAGCATAGATCTGACTTTTAATTGGTTGATCAAGACAAACCCACAAATCTATTTTTAATTCTGACCCTGTGTTTTCTCATTTCCCTGCTTTGTCTTTCTGAAAATTTAATCACCAGTTACTTACTATCGCCTGATGAGGCACAAAGTTGCCGAAACACGAAAGCTATTGTGTAGCAATTTCAACATGTTTTTGTTATAATCTCTTATAATAAAAATAATAATATATTGCTCTACTTTGTATTGAGCACTTTTTTAAAAGTAAATGTTACGAACAGTCAAATTTTACTCCATCTGTTCTTTCACTCATTTGGAGATGTGTGTGTGTGTGTGTGTGTTTAATTGCTTGCTCACTCTCTCTCTCATTACAGTAAAATCCACCTGGGACATCCTTGCTCCAACCAAGCCTGTTATTAAATGTTCACCAAATTTCCCTTTCAGCCTCCTTCATTCAGGTTGCAAGCTTTTTCAGACAAAGCATTTCATTTGAATATGTAATGAAAGAGGTGAATGGAATAAGGTTGTCTTTGGAGGATTTTTTTTCAATAAAAATTATAATCAACATAACCTGTCTATTCAAAACTCAAAGTTATACATGGAAATAGTTTCAACAAGGATACAATGTCATATTGCATCATTAAATATTTGAGCTTTACAACTTCAACAAAATATTGCAATAACAATCATAAATATGGATGCAGGTCATTATTTAAAATAGTAAGAGGATACAAATGAATGAAGATCCTAAACTGACAAGTTTTTCCATTTCACTGAAGCAGACATTAAACACATGAGAGCATTATCATTATCACCTCTTCTATCTTCTCTCACTGACACCAAACAATATTTCTTAAGGCCACATCACATTGAAACACCAGTTCCCATTTGATCACCAAAGTTAAGCAATGTTGAGCCTGGTCAGTACCTAGATTGGTGACTGCTTAGGAATACAAGGTGCTGTAAGCTTGAATATGCAGGTGGTGTAAGCGGGTAATGGAATTGTTAATTGGAGAGCCGAGTTCCAATTCCAGCCAGGTTCATTATATTCACTTACGCACAAATACCCTTGGAAAATCCACCTCTTCTCTCCCCAGTTATGGGTTAATTAGTAAGACTTGTATCACTGAAACCATTACTATCTCCCAAAACAAAATAAAATTGCATACAAAATATTTAGATTTTGGCATTAAATATCCTATAGAGGTGTTGATATACTGCTAAATTAAAACAATCAACCAAACAGTGTCACTTCTATGTCTTTTCCGTCTTTCCTTATAATCAAACAGGATAATCCATTGTTTATGAAATATTGGCAGGATTTAACATATGTGCTAACAAAGGCAGAATTATATGACTGATTACATACAAGTATATTCATCAAGGGTACTCTTGGACTCCATTTTAAAATTAGACAAGTCCTATCCACCTGATCAAGGATTTGCATTAACTTGATTCTTTTGTGAGTGAGGGTTGAATGTGCATCCCTCATTACTCTTTTTTGTTTTTCTTCTATCATCTTCATCATGGCTTCTACAAAGTTAAACATCCAAGATTATAAGACAGCCTTCTTACAACAGATAACATTGACCAAAATAGCTTTACAGACATACAATCTCTGGCTTGTGTTTGACAAAACAGCTTCTCTGTTATAAATAGCCATTTTGTTCTCTTACACTCATCAAACCACTTATTAAATACCTTCCTTGTCTCGACATCTTACTCATTCCACAAGATTTATCTCTTTGAATACGTTTATTATCATTATTCACGTCCTGGCATTACATTCTTGCTGAATTTTGACAAAGAATGTGAACTGCTGAAGATGTATCACTCCTTGGTACAGAGGGAAGTTGGCACACTGAGACTTTGGAATTGAAGCAGCAGAAAGTAGTAAGAGCTAAAATATGTATAACCCACACCCTTATATCATTCCCCACCCCACCCTCTAAATTTCCTCCACCCATTTCATCCTCATCCCCAAAACGAGTTATTATTAGGATAAATATTGTCTCTCATACTTTAAAAAAAATTGTAATGACACTTAGTCATTGGTTAGAAAGTATCTGGCCAACATACAAACATAAGGAAAGTTTAGCATTCAATTAATTGAATTTCCAATTAGATGAGAAGGGAGGGTCATCAGATAAGCCAAAGATTTAAAAGAAAAAAAAAAAATAATTCAAGGTGAATTTCCATAGCAATACCTTTATCCCCCAAAATACTCAAAATGCAAAAGGCTAATGATAATGATAAGATAAGCCGTCTTGTCCTGGGTATAAGCTACATCCGGCAGCAAGGCCTCTGATTGGGAGATTGGTGGTTTTGGAAGCACCTCTTAATTGTTGCTGCTTCCAGGTCCACCTTGACCTGGGGTGGTAGCACTTGATAGGGTCCACGCTATGGGCAAATAATGAACCCCTAATAAAAATCAACAGTAAAATAAAATAAGCAATAATAAATTTCTATAGCAAAATGATAATGCAACCTTAAAAAATATAAAAATACATTTTTATAGTAAAATTACCAACAATACATGTTATGATCTACAAACTATATATATATCTATAAAAACATACCTTTACTCAAAAAGTATAAAATTATGTACGAAAGATATTCAATTGAAGCCATAAAAATGCATTAAAAACATTTAGATTTCAGCATTAAATAACCCATAGAGGTATTGATATACTATAAAAATAAAAACTATAAATCAACAGACTAGCCATTTCCATACAGGAAACACATGGCATTCATTGACCAAACAGTGTAACTTTTGGTTGAAATTTATAAAAATAAAAAACAGTTTTTAAGCAAAATAGGTTTCTAGAGTCTACTCAATATTATCACATTTTTTATTTTTTTATTTAGGGTGGGTAGGGTCTTCCTTCCTAACCTTTTGTTTAAGGTAGTGTGAAAAGCCAACATCTTCACTATGTCATTATTTTCCATTCAAGTTTAGCTGTTGCTGCTTTTGGAAGTCTTCAAGTGATGTGGCTTTTGTTATTTGGTAAGGCTCTTTATTTATGAACCTGTATTTGCCAGTATATAAGATCCAATGAATTTAGAGACCTATCTCTAGGGATCAATTGCTTGAAGATTTTTTTAATCATTCATTTGAATTGATATATAATTACAGGATGTTGGGTGGATGTGTGAAAACAAACCTCATAATACAACTTTCATAGGTGCCTTAGACCTATCAAAAGTTCCTCCTCCACCCACCAATGTAATGGCTAAAACTTATTGGATTGAAATTCCTATTAATAAATTGCTTACATAATAAAATGGTAAAGTGTAAATGGTATGCATACAAAATAAAGTTATCATAAACTAATTGAAGATGCATATTAAAATCTTTATTACAAAAACGCTACTGTCAATTTTCTGTCATACTAATGAAAACAGAAAGAGAGGAAAGAAGTAGTGCGAACGCAGACACAAAATGGGCTTTTTTTTTTTTTTTTTTTTGTTTCTTAATAATGATGCTCATCCTGTATAATAGCCACTTGAGGTAGAGAATTACAGAGTAAGAGGCAGAGTTTATGAGGATATGTGGGGATATTAACAGTTGACCCTAGACTTGAACAGGTTAAGATTGTAAGGATCAGGGAAGCATCATTTTGGAAGTCGGCCCACAAAGCAGCAGTTGGTGGGAAGCTGCTGCTTGAGTGGAACTTACATCTCACCAATGGAATGCAAAGGTAATGAGTGTGGTTCGCTACAGTGTATCTGGTATGGCAAGTCTTAGCCATGAAGGTTAGAATAAACACTCTCCATGGAAATAGTGATAAAGCAGAAAGAGGCCTGCAATATTTTGTCTGTAGGAAAAGGGTGGGAGTTGTAGGGAGGAAAATAAGGAGACACTTTTGAAATTTATTGAAACTGAAAAGCGAAGATTGGGCAGCTCTATACATAGTGGTAGTACTCTATTTTGGGTCTGATTTGGCTCTTGTATAGCAAGAGGAGTCGAGTACTTACTGGACCGGTACAGGGAACCAACCATTTTACAAGCATCTTTAGCAATGCACTGTATGTAAGAGTTTAACTTGAAGTCTGCGCTAAGTCCCGAGAGGCACTCAAGGCATGGGGCTTCCCTGAGAACTCAACTGTTCATTGTGATAGATAAAAATTCAGGGTCTGCTTGGTGATGAGGAAATGTCACTAATTTGGTTTTTATTGTATTGTAATGTGACCAGCCAGCTTTTAACCAACTGAGCTGTTAAAGTCAGATCAGAAGAGAGAGCAGCTTCCAAGCTTTGGTCATCTAAAGTTTTTGAAGGAACACACATTGTATCATCAGCATAGATCAGTGATTCTCAGCTGCTATGCCATGAAATAGTGTCAAAGCATACTTTTCATATATATATTTATGTGTGTTTGTGTGTGTGTAGTAATGATACAGCATTAGTATTTGAATAAATGAATAAATATTAACTTTTTTTTCATATAATTCTTTTCACTATTCTTTGATGTTATTTTGAATACTTTTGTTTTAATATTCATTTTTTAAAGAGTATTTTTAGCTTTTTAAAGGCTCAAAATAAAACTTTTGACGGTACACATTGATATATTTTTAGATTTCAATACAAAAGCAATATCTCAAAAAGGCTTTATCAGTTTTATTGCAATTTTCTACTTTTTATTTATGTGAATTCAGCTTCACAACCCTAAATAACATAAAAAATAAGAAGCGAGAAACATTGAAGAAATTGTGAAAAAACACCAGGCACAGGTTTTGCACTAAATAAGCTGCACAAATCGTTGAATAAAAACAGTGAAATAAATTAAGTTCATATTTGTGTATGTCCTTTTAAAAAAAAAAAAAAAAATCTATGGTTTTATTTCATAACATGTAAATGTATATCCTTTAAAAATGTTGCTAAATGTGCAGTGATATTTTCACTTGCTCCTAGGTGTGCCATTGCTTAAAAGAGTTGAGAAACACAGGCATCGATATTCACAAATGATTGGCATATACTCTTAGGCAAGTCATTTATGTAAAGTAGAAAGAGGGTTGGACTGTAAAGCAAGCCTTAGGGGATGCTGCATTGATTGCTTGGGACTTGGACAACTGGCCGTTAACAACTTTTTGTATGATTGCTGGAGGTAAGCAAATGCTGCTGGTAATGTCACTAATACTACTGCTGACATTGTCTAAGTTTCATTGCAGTATTGTTTTGGAATTATTAAAAAGAAAGAGAAAAAAACAGAAAATATGAAGAATGTTGTCAGAAAAATAAATTTTTCTTCAATATGCATGCTTTTGGCTTGTAATATATATAATTTATCTATATTAGATATATATAATTTATACATATATAATGTGTATAATTTATCTATAAATAATCCTGTCATTTTTTAACAGGAATTACACTGGCTAATACAATTTCTGAAAGATGTTTAGCAAATTTGAGAAGATGAGCAAATGGAAGGAAGGAATAAACTGGCATTTGAAGAACCTAATAATAATGTTAAAGAAGGCCATTTCCATTTAGTTAACACGCAAGGTTTCAATGCTAAATATAAAAGAAATCGAAATTTGCCATCAGCTATCTAACCAGTTGTTCACTATGATAAAGTTTGTTTGCATTTTCAGTGAGGGTAGATGATGAAGAAATTGATAATCCAGAAGATGGAATGCTAGGCAATGGGGTAAAAGATATGTTCAAGAAGTGATTGATGAGAAATTCTCACATAGTGATTTAAATAACTTGGTTCGAGATCTATCCAAAGAATAATCACAGCTACTAATCTCAAGACATGCTGGAAATAAAAAAACAAAAAAAGTGTTGCTTCCAGATGTTAGAATATTGTTTTATCAGAATGGACACAGTATGTTGTTACAGCATTTCAGTGAAGAAATAATAATATCAATGGGAATGTATTTAGTTTCATTAAATTAACTGTGAAAGTGAAAGTAACTGTGCTTCAGTCACTTTCCCAATGCTGTAATTTAGCTCCCCA